GAGATTTGTTTTTTTTCTGGCAGTAGAGGAGCTTGTCCAATCTGCTACACCAGCTATCTCTTCCTAGGCCTTTCCTAGAGGTTTTTCTCCTATTCCTCCCTCTAAATAAGAAATTGTGCAATTTGAAGATAATAGCAATAGCATTTAGACATATATACCATTTCAAAGGGCTTTTATAGCCATCTCTAAGCAGTTTAGAGTCAGCCTATTCCCCCAACCATCTGGGTTCTCAATTTACCAACTTCGGAAGGAGGCGGAGAACTGTTAGCAAAAACATTTAACAGTTGGTGTCCCTCACCTTCATGGATGGAGATTGTCCCCTCAGGACAAGGAATACAGTCATAGCAACAAGCAGGCTCTCCTTCTCGCTTTCGCTTGACAAATCCAGGATGACAACTTTCTACACATTGGGACTGAGGCAGAGACTAAGCAGAAAAAGAAGAAATGCCAAAGAAAATATGAAGCATGCATGAAAATGGATGTAGATATTAACATTAGCCAAATAGTTCCCGGCAGTGGTGGGGTTAAAATTTTTTTTACTACCGGTTCTGTGGAGGTGGCTTGGTGGGCATGGCAGGGGAAGAATACTGCAAAATCTCAAGTCAGATGTGGTATTTGCTGGTTCTCTACCTCTGGTTCCTGGGCTTCACTTAGATAAATATGAAATGATTGCCTCATTCCAAGCTGATTTAGGAGAGATAAACACTGGCAGATTGTTCATTAACTCACTCCCCTTGGCTTTCGGCCTCTAACATTGCAATAAAGGATTTTTCAGCTTAAGAAAGTGTGGAGGGATGGAATTGAAAAGTTTTCAGCCTTAAGTGACAAGCAGTTTGGCTCCTCCTCCTCGTTTTTGATTTTTAAGATTTTGAAATACAGCATGATGATCTTAAATTAAATTTTGGAAAAGAAATTATTGTAAAAGATTTATTATTATTATTATTTGATTTTTTAAATAAAATACGCCTGTAATGAAAAAAAAGAAACTTTGGAACATTAGGATCTAGATAGGCTTCTTCTGGAGTATATAAAACATTGCAAAACTGCTTCCCTTTGAAAGTAGTCCAAACCATCCCCCAATTAAGATATAAAGGGAAAAGATCCTTAAGAAATAGAGCTTTCTTTATTTGTGTGTTTCTTTCCTCAATTCACATGGCTCTCAATGAGGACAAAAACTGACTGCCTAGTTCAGGTGTCTGCAACCTTAAACACTCAAAGAGCCATTTGGACCTTTTTCCCAAAGAAAAGAAAACACTGGGAGCCACAAAACCTGGGTGGGCATGGTCAACTCGAAATCATTCATTCCCACCCTGTCACATGACCCCACTAGCCATGCCTACCCAGGTTTTATGGCTCCTGGTATTTTTTTTAACCCCCCCTCTCTGTGTGTGTTTCACTCTCTCTGTCTCCTCTCTTTCTCTCTCTTCTCTCTCCCCCCCTCTCTTTCCCCCTCTCTCTTTTTTATCTGCCTCATCTTTCTCTCTTTCTCCCTCTCTTTCTCTCCTCTTTCTCCCTCTCTCTGAGTAATCTGGGAGAAAGAGGCATTGCTGTAAGATGGGCACTGTTAACCTGGTGACAATTCCTGGAGGATTCAAAAGAACAATTTGAGGTCTTGACTGACCATAAAAATTTGGAAGCTCTACAAACCCCTTGCAAGCTATCCCCCAAACAAGTTAGATGGGCACTTTATTTTCAGAGATTTAATTTTGTTTTGAAATATGTACCTGCAGGAAAAAATTTTTTCTAGCTGATGCATTATCTCAGCTCCCACAATATGATATTAAAAGAGAAACTCTGATACAATCTATTATATAGGGTAAAGATATCATACAAACATTAAAATATAAAGTAATAGATGACCTACAAAAAGCTTTAGAAAAAGATCCCTGGTTACAGAAAAATAAAAAAAACAATGTATTATCACTGATGGAATAGCTTGGAAAGGAACAAAATTATATAAACCAATTACCTTACGTGAACTAGTACTTAAAAGGTGCCATGATAGCAAAGAAGCTGGTCATTACAGAAATCTTAAAATGTTACATCTAATTAAGAAACAATTTTGGTGGTCAGGTATGAGGGGGGATTTTGAATGTTATGTTAGAAAATGTAAAATATGTGCTAGTAGTAAGGCCTGTCCTGGAAAACCTTTAGGACTATTGCAAAAGGTGTCTGATCCAATTAAACCATGGCAGGATATTGCCATGGACTTCATTGTAGACTTACCTTGTAGTCATGGGTTCACCATAATATGGACTGAAATAGATCTGTTCTCAAAACAGGTACATTTCATTCCATGTAAAGGCATACCCGCTGAAAAGAAATTAGTTGGTTTGTTTCTAAAACATATATATATATATATATATATTGCTTACATTGTGTACCAAGACGTATTATTTCAGACAGAGGGGTACAATTTACAGCCAGATTCTGGAGAGAGTTTGTGAAAACGATAGGCTCACAGCAGAAGTTTAGTACTGCTTACCACCTGAGCATGAACGACATTGCAGAGCGAGACAATGCAGCCACAGAACCATATCTAAGGTGTTATGTATTATATCAATAAAACGATTGGTCTGAATTATTACCATTCACAGAGTTCACTTATAATAACACTATACATAGCAGCACAGGATACACCCCATTTCAAATAGTATATGGAAGTGAGTCACTACCATTTCCAGAATTGCCATATAGTACAGAGACACCAGTAATGCAGAAGCAATGGTATGGACAAATACAACAATCATGGGAATATGTAAGAGAAGCCTTATGTGATGCCTTCATTGCATGTAAAAAACAATTTGACAACTGGAGAAGTGAACAAAAACCTTTCCATATTGGAGATCTCGTATATCTGTCCACTAAATATATAAATCTGGGTCTTCCTTGTAAGAAATCAGGGCTAATATATATTGGACCATTCCCGATTGTAAGGGTAATTAATCTGGTGACTGTACAATTGAAGCTATCATCACGATATAAAAGAATACATCCTGTATTTCATTGCAGTTTATTAAACATATATATAAAGATATAGACTCACCACAAACCCTTCCTGGTCCAATAAAAGACGATCAATATGAGGTAGAGGAAGTATTAGATTCCCGAAAGAATAGGGGAAAGTTACAATATTTGATAAAATGGAAGGGGTATCCCATTGCGGAAGCATCGTGGGTTAATAGCAATGACGTCCATGCTCCACGATTACATCAATGGTTTCATAGAAAAAATCCACATAAAGAAACGGAAATATAACAATGCTAATGAAATATAAGATATTAAACCCCTCTTTTTCATTTCCAGGGAGACCAGTGGTAGAGGGGGCAGCCTGTTGGGCTTCATCAAACAACTCTCTCGACAGTATTGGAAGATTAAAGGAGTGAAGGAGATGAAATGAAAACAAACATTGCTACCAGATGATGTCTGCACGCTGACTAGCTTAGATTGATGAGAGGGGAATACAAACACTTCATTACATACCTACATTCAACAATGCAGCATTAACAAAGAGGAACATCATACTAATAAATTTGTAAAGACAGCTTTTGGCAGGGTGGGTAAATAAATCAAGAGAGAGCAACTGCAGGAACAGCAGGAGTAAGTGGTAATTGGGAATAGTGACTTAGTTAGTATGCGATGTAGACCATAGAATTATAGTGTTAATAGTGTAATAGGGACACAAGTGCAGGGCAGAGATAGACAGCAATTATATGGGTGGAGTGAAGGGATAAATTACAATGAAAGATGATTGATTTCAGTGCTAACCTTGTTCAGTTTAACTGTGCTTGCCGGTTACTGTACTAGGAACAATAAAAAGAAAAAAGAATACAAACCTATCTGTTTGCAATTTCTTACCTAGGATTCACAGAACCATGGCTAAGACAGATTCCCAGATAAATGAAGCCCTTTTGTCCCCCTGCTGTGTCTTCCTGGCAGCTGAACCCACCACTGGCTGGCCCCTCCCCCCCCCTCCAACTCACTCCTAGCCTGCCCTGAGAAGAGAAGGGCGACAGCAGCAGATCGAGACTCACTCTGTATAGTGGGAGTGAAGCCTCTTTTTCTGGCCTTTTTTGGTGCTTTGCTTTTTGATGGGGAGACATGCATCTTTCTCTCCACCCCAGGATACTGGCTGGGCTGCTCCCACCACCTTTATGGCCTGCTCGCTGCTCTTTCAGCACCTTGCGCAAAACACTTAAATTTAGTTGTGCTTCAACAATGGGGGAAATAGCGTCCCCTCCTCCTCCTGGAGCTCATTAGGATGTAGAGCATTGGCTACAGCCGGCCTAGCAAGTGTCTCGAGATGAAGAAAAGTTGAACATCTCTCCCAGCGGTCTAGGTGTGCACAGCACCAACAAGAACATCAGTGACCTTTCAAGAGAGACATTCTTCAGTCTGGATAAGGTGGGGCTTATTTCTCACATGGACCAAGAGGATCTCTATCCAGTCATAACTGTATTTCATTATCATAAGGATATCATGGCATCTGAAGGACACTTGTGTGAATAGTATTGAAGTCCCCACAATCCATCAATTCCCAGTGAGGGTCGTCTGCTATGGAGACTAGAGTTAAACTATTTGAAATGGATCATAATCTGTAGAAAAAAGGAGAAAACACAGCAATACTAGACCCACCTTGTTGAGCAGATTTATCCATGAAAGAGCAATTTTGTTAATAATAACTCTCTGTCTTTCAATACTTCCCAGTTTCCTTTTGATCAAATCCCCCTCAGACGAAATCACCATGAACTCGATGTCCAAATCTGCAGCTATTTCTCCATTAGGGTCCATGTGAAGATTCCAGAGGGACAGATTGTAGAACTCATTTTTCTCCAGAAAGGGATGGAACTAGAATGAAAACATCCAGGAATTTTAAAAGCAGAAATCTTGGTTGGTTATCCCACCTGGTATTTTCATCTGTGACTTTTTCTTATAGTTTTTTTATTGCAAACATGTTTAATGTTGAACGGTTGCAGAAACTGGGCATGGCTAGTCTAGTGAAGAGAAGGATCAGGGGAGACATGATAGCAGTTTTCCAATATTTGAGGAGCTGCCACAGAGAGGAGGAAGGGGTCAAGCTATTTTCTAAAGCTCCTATAGGCCAGACAAGGAATAATGGATGGAAACTGAACAAGGAGAGATTTAACCTGGAAAGAAGGAGAAAGTTTCTGACAGTGAAAACAATCAACTAATGAAATAGCTTGCCTTCAGAAGTTGTGGGAGCTTCATCACTGGAAGCTTTCAAGAAGAGACTGGATTGCCATCTATTAAAAATGGTGTAGCTTCTGCTTGGGTGGAGGGTTTGACTAGATCAGGGATCAGCACCCTGTGGTTCTAGTGCAGCATGTGGTCCTTTCATCACTCTGCTGCTGATCCCTGTCCTTCAAAATATGTGTCACAACCACCAATGTGAGACAGCTGCCAG